TCCTTGACGAGCTGGAGGGGTATTTCAGCTATACAATGAGCTTGGATAAGGAAATTATAACTAATAAGAAATAATACAATACTATTTCTCCTCATATAATGGCACGTAGTTGCTTTCAATGCAAGAATAATATTTTATAAAGAACTTATTGAAAGCTTACATTTAACAATTTTTTAAAGGAGCTTAAAGTTGAAGATATTTTAAATGACGTTCCTTAACAAAATGTATCTTATTTCGGTTGAAAGATGTTTAAACGTTTTTTCAGTTTACTGTCTATATTTAAGAATGAATATTTTTAAAAATGATTTCCTAAAACATGATCACTTAGGGTATCTGAACTTCTGCAACTCCCTCCTTTAGCTGACATTCTTATAATTTTTCTGCTGTTGTCTGTTGGCTTTTGCCCGCTTCCTTTTGGAATTTCTGCTGGTTTTATGAATGAAAATGTTTTTTCTCTGCTTGTTTGCGGTTGGGGCATGCTTCCGTTAAGGCAATCCAGAGAGAAAAAAACAAGTGAAAAAACCAAGCAAAAGTGGCACGGTCAGTCTGCGTGCCCCTGGCGTTTCCTCGACGTTGCCTATGCAAAGTAATATTATTATATACATAAATATAAATTCATCTTGGCTTTAGTTTTTTTTTTTTTTTTTGAGAAGCTGGCCGTACACAAATCTTCCCTACTTCCGGCTTGGGCTGAGAATCTCTTCCAGAGTTTTCTAAGCCTGAGAGTTTTCACTAGAATTCTCTGGGCCTCCGACTTGGGACTTGGAATCGGAAGACAGATAGTGACCTAACAACTTCCGTGTTACTTCCGCTTCTTCGGCTCCATCTTCCACTTCCGTTTCTAACAATTTTAATTGAATTTTCGTGTAAACACGCCGACTTGCGGCCATATATATCCGATGGCCCAGACTTGACCACCAGAAACCCTCGGCCTGGGATCAAAACTGAGGCTGAGCCGGCATACTTCCGCTTACTCCGGCCACATGACGACGCCAGATTGCATAATTCTCTAGCCCAAAAAAAAAAAACGAGAAGAATAACCCAAAATCAGAGTGTGGGATGGGTTAGGGGTATGGGGAAAAACAATGTGAAAAGGAAATGTATAGAAAAATCATTAACGCACAGACAAAAGATAACAGAGGGTCGAGGGGTATAGGATATAGCGGAGACTACCTGATGGAAACACACTTGTGGCAGGCGGCAGGCTGCTGCCATCCATCCGTCTCGTCTAACGGTTGGGAAATCGGAAAATCGGAAAATAGGAAAAATCTCCAGCCCGGACGTTGATCGTCGTGTGTGCGTCAACGCCCTCATGGGAACCAAAAACCCACGAAAGAATTACGGGCCGGGGAGGGGGTTAGTAAAAAGACTCAACCAACTGTTGCCGCTGCACCGGGAAAACTCAGACATCTTCCGTTTGTTGTGTGGAAATTTATGTCATTGATTGTCCTTTGGTTGGGTCTGGTTATTGATAGCACCAGATGGGGCCGAAAATGCACAAAAAATAAAGCAGAAAGCAGAGCAGGTGCAGTTGCTATTTGACCCTATTTTGCAGAAGTCACAGTCAGGTTCTTAAGAAGGTAACCCAGCGCCTATTCTGAAAACTGAATACGGTAAACCAAATGGGCCAACTAGAACTACTTTGACATCATTATTTTTTAATAGGTATTACTTTAGTTTCAGCGATTCAGTGATTTGGTATTAATTTCACACTTTGATTTCTTTTTCAAGATAAAAATATTGTTTATATATTTCTATTTTAAAAATTTTAACATTTTTTTCACAAGGAACTTTCTGAATAATATTTTTTGACTTCTTAAATATTTAGGAAAGCTTATTATTTATAATTGTTGATTTAATAGTTGTTTATATATGTTTTTGTTTTATGGTTTCAATTTTTTCTCTGAGCCCCATCAAAATAATATTTTTCAATAAGTTAAATTCAAAATCTATGACAAAAAGTGCGACTTAAAACTGGAAAATAAACCCATTTCTGAATGTGATTGTGGTGATTGTTATAAAATTCCTAATATAATATTTTTCAATAAGCTTGAATCAAAATCTATGACAAAAAGGGCAACCTAAAGCTTAAAGAAAAACCATTTCTAAATGTATTACTTGGTTACTATAATAAAATCCCTAAAATAATATTTTTCAAAAAGTAAGAATCAAAACCTATGACAAATAGGGCGACTTAAAGCTTGAAAAAACCCATTTCTGAATGTTTTTCTTTGTGATTACTATAAAATCCCTATAGGAATCCCTCCAAATTGGCACCACTGCCTTGTGCAATTGTAGACACCTCACTTCCGTTGCGCGGAGTGGCATTCCCGGCATTCAGGCAGCCACATGAGGCATGACAGCAATGAGGCTAGAAGTAGCTCCAAGAATTCCATCGAGGGGAGTCCCCCAACCCAACCCATGTTATCTTCCCCCTTCTCTAGGTTGTGTGCGGGGTTAATTTGATTCAATTAAAGAGATGGTATGGGCAAAGGGTTCCCCATTTCAGGCGGCTTTCATTGAAATCAAAAGTCACACAAAAGCTTGTCAATGCTTGCCGCCTCACGTTGCAGTGTCCAGCTGCTGGAAAGCAAGAGGGGGTAAATGGGAGCCAAGGGGGAAAAACTCAGCTTTTATTGTCTTTGGCGCGTTCTCAACTTCCGTTGGCACTGCACTTTGACACATGAGGCTAATTGTTTGACTGCTAGGGGAGCGGTATACGTATGTACACGCGTGCTGCTGATGGAGATCGGGCAAATTATAAAGTGTGGCAGCAGCTTGGACTCCCCAGCCCCTCTGGTTACCCCACCACACCTTCTTTGGGGAGCTGTTAAACCGGAAATCCGGTTGCCTTCGCTCCCTTCTCGCCGCCCTTCTTGTGTTTGCTTTTTCCCTCGCTTTTTGTGTTGGCCCGGCAAAACTTTTACTACTCTTCCAGCTTCTTCGCCAACACAAAAACTTTCGTGTTGTTTATAAGTTGATTCTAGTGATGCACAGTAAGAAATTTCTTCAACGTTTCAGAGTTTACTACTATATTTTCATTCTTATATTAGTGATATTTTGTAAGAGTATTGTTTTAAGCTTATTTCAAATGAGTTCTTTAACCCTAACATATATATGTTTAATATAACTTAGTTCATATACAACTTTTACAACATCTTTTATGAAAATATCACTCTATAATTATAGAGTGAGTATAAACCAATTTAGTCTAGAATTTTTCTCTGTGCATCTATAGTGAGCTTCGCAGAGATGAGCTGATGGCTTTGGAATGCCGATGAAGCATGTCTTCTTTGATATGCTGCCCCTGCCCTGTGATTTGCTTATCAATATGTAAAATTTTATACGTATAACGGTGATGTCTTTGAAGTGCCATTTCCCGACACAACAAGAAAAACAACGAATCAAACACAAAAAAAAAATGGTAGAGAAAAAACACTGAAGGGGAAGAATTCTCAATAAACATGCTCGAATTTCAAAGAATTTCTCACGCTGCTTACTCGACAGCGACCCCCTATAAAACTCCACTTCTGGCGTATCCTGTCAGGGGTGGATTGACAATGGCCACATAGCTCCCCCTTCAAACGGAAAAGAATCTCAGCAATGCCCGAAGCTCCTACTTGAAATATGAATAATCAAAGTGAAGACAAATTCGCTCGTCAAAAGGGTTAAGGACTTCGGCAGGTGCTACGCTTGAAACTGGGTCAAAAATGCGTGGGAATCTCAAAGAATAACTGCCAAAAAGGAAGTTCCGGAAGCGACATTATAAGCGAAAAAAAAAAAATAAAATCAGGAAGTAAATAAAACTAATAAAGTGAATAAGGAAGGCAGGCAGACGACTTCCGGAGGGGAATGAGACAGAGAACAGCAAAAACAGAGAACGGAGAGAATTGTCATAGAACTCCAGTTCAATTGAGCAAAAAGGTAAAAGGTCAGGCAACCTGTTTCGGATTCACTTCCGCTTCGTCTACGGCTAATCCCTTTTGCGTGTGTGTGTGTGCACTCGCTTATTTACTTCCGTCAGTTGCACTAAATCACTTCCGGACTTCCGGTATGCGCTCACCCTCAAAAAAAAAAACAAAATAAAGGACCTCAAGGAATGACCCTAAACAGCTCAGGTAGCAGCAGGTGCAAGCCGAAGACCCAAAAAATAATTTGAATAAAAATCAAGAGAAAAGTGAGGAGATAGAGAGAGAAATGAAATTGAAACCAAACAAAAGGCGAAAACCCTCGACAAAAAGGGATAACACACAGGAAAAAAAATAACACAAGGTGCGCGACAGTTCCACTTAAAAAATTGATTGCTTTCGATAATTTCATTGGAAACCTGTTGTTGTTGCTGTGGACGTTGCTGTCAAGCATCACTAACAATAAAATCGAATGATAGAAGGGAATCAGCCTCTGGAGTGGCATCCTCCAAAAGCACCCATCAGTTGCTAGTTGTTGGTTTTTATGTTACGACCAGGACCCAAACACAATGCATAAGTTTTTATTGGCCCCGACTTGGGCAAACAACAACAGAACCCAACTTTTGGGTCTCTCGTCTCTCTGTTTAGAGAATTCAATTAATGAAATGTATTTGCCGGAGAACATACAAACAAACAAACAAACAAAAACACAAAAACACACCAAAGTTATTCCCGAGTTTGGACCGACTTTAGTCGTTGTAGTTATGTTAATCAAGTTGCCAAGATTGTGTTGACACAAGCGGCTATTATTGAAGGATTCGGGACATTTTGGGCTAAGGAAGTTTACCCTTATGGTTTGTTTATCTTTTGGTAATGTGGCGAATAATCAATGGAAGTATGAAGGAGATAATAATAGGCTTTAGGCTTAAAATCAAGTTCTTAAAATGTATTATATTTCATTGGTTTCTCAAAGATTACGGATGAAATAAATACACCCATTGCTATTCACAATTTAGGGAGGTTATTTGCCTTTTAAAAATAAAATTTATGCCAATATATTTTACTAATCAATTTCTTTTACTTTATTTCAAGGACTCTGAGGATGATCTGCCCATCTGCGCCCCGAATGCGGTTTGCTCCAAGATCGATCTATACGAAACTCCCTGGATTGAGCGACAGTGTCGCTGTCCCGAATCGAATCGTATGCCCAACAATGTGATCATCCATCATCACAGTCATTCGTCGGGTTCGGCGGATTCCCTGAAATACAGGAACTACTTCGAAAGGGAGAAGATGATGCAGCACAAGCGAATGCTTTTGGGTGAATTCCAGGATAAGAAATTCGAAAGTCTGCATATGAAGAAGCTAATGCAGAAACTGGGCGCCGTCTATGAGGATGATTTGGATCATCTGGATCAGTCGCCGGACTATAATGATGCCCTGCCTTATGCGGAAGTGCAGGATAATGAATTTCCACGCGGTCCGGCGCACATGAGGCACTCGGGTCATCGGGGATTAAAGGAGTCACCCACTAACTTCATTGGAGGCTGTCCCAGCAGTTTGGGTGTGGAGGATGGTCACACTATTGCCGATAAGACCAGGCACTATAAAATGTGCCAGCCGGTTCACAAGTTACCCGTTTGCAAGTAAGTTGAAAGAAATCTAAACTATATTTTATGTCATTTAAAAATATATTACATTTATTTTTTATTTCTAACGAATTCTTTATCAAAGTGGTCTATTTAAGTCTGAAAATTTAAAAAAATATATTATCTAAATGAAATATCTTTCTTTGCAGACACTTCCGTGACTATACTTGGACCTTGACAACGGCAGCCGAGTTGAATGTGACAGAGCAGATAGTCCACTGTCGGTGTCCCCGGAACTCGGTGACCTATCTCACCAAGAGGGAACCCATCGGCAATGGTAGTCCTGGCTACAGATATCTCTTCGCCTGCTCTCCTCTGACGGTGAGTTTATAAGGAATTTTCTCGTGAAAACTTGGCTATAACATTTGTTTTTATTTCATTCAGCGCCTTCGCTGTCAGCGGAAACAGCCGTGCAAGTTGTTCACGGTGCGAAAACGCCAGGAGTTCCTCGACGAGGTCAACATCAACTCCCTGTGCCAGTGCCCCAAAGGTCACCGCTGCCCCAGTCATCATACGCAGTCCGGTGTGATAGCCGGCGAGAGTTTCCTGGAGGATAACATACAGACATATTCCGGTTACTGCATGGCCAACGATTGAGTGCAGCACTTGGGAACCATTCCACACAGCAAACAGATATAAAACAAACACTTTGTAAAGGAGGATAGATTGAGCGGTGAAGCAGCTACTATATAGATATCGACTGAGCCAATTGAGTCTCGCCAAGTTACCAACTAATGAGAATGAGGAAAAACGAACAAATACAAGCTTAGAACTTAAAATGCACATCCGCACACACACACAAATCATTTTCAAGTTTGAAAAAAAGGAGCGTGTTTCTTTTGCTACCAAATTTTGGTCATAAAACGTATGATATAAATATTTAATTAGTTTTAAGCAACGATATGTGCGCAGTTTGTTATACAAATAATTTGTAATGAATATTTATGAAAACAAGAGCAAAACCTGCAACGAAGGAGGGCATACCTTCCATTATGTAATATAGCAACAAACTATACTCGTAATCTAACCCGCATAAATTGTATATATTTTAATATATGTATAACTAAAAAAAAAAATGGAGAAACAGTTTCAGTTATAATTTAAACGGAAATTACGTAGAGCAACGCAGCAAAGGTCAAAGAGCAGGATGTGCCAAATGTGCAGATAGGGTGCAGTTAGTTAACCTAAGGATATATCATTGAATAATTCATAGCGAGGGCAGTTCGAAACTGTGACAACTCTGGCAGCTATTTTAGTGCAATTTTTTATGACGTCTTCAAAGCGATTTCCTTTGGAATCAGGCTCAGCAATGAGTTTTCAAGGAAGTTAGAAATCAATTTAGAAATTGCGCACTTCATGTAAACGTATAGTAACCACCATGACTCCTCCTCTTCCCTCTAACTATGCATATGTACATCGATTTAAGCAACAAGATTTTGAGCGATGTTTTGGGTTTAAACATTTTGTAAAAAGGCAAAAATAAATTTTAATTTATGAAAAAAAACTTAACTAATGTGTTTTATTCTAAATAGTTTTTATATACTTTCCAAATCTTAAATAATTTAAAGCCCTAAAAAGTAGGCAATATTAATCATTATTTACTACCACAAACATTTTGTCATTCTCTGATTGCAATTTGTCCACATACTTTTGGGAACATTGTGGCTTTCAAATGTATTGCCTACTTTTTGGCTAAGTTATAAGTAATTTTTACATCGAATGTAAAAATATTTAATTTGAAAAACGAACGTTTAATGATAATAAGGGGAGCATAGTAATGATAATAAATCATTTCCATTGCTACTCAAAATAAAATGTAATATTCCTATATCAAACAATGCAAATCTGATAAGACCAAAAAATCAACCAGTTGGGGACTTCGAAAAAACTGACCTATAAAAAATGATATTTCACAAAATACAACGGCTTGTTATTACAAGCTGCTAGATGTAATAGAGTTATCATGTAAATATAACACTAAGATCCAAATGTTTTCTAAGAGATCTAAGACATACCCAAAGTGAAGTAGATCGCAGAACATCATCATCCAATCCATCAATCCGCAAAAAGAATGAAACCAATTATAACGCCATAAAATTACATTTCAAGCTAATAACCGACAATTACAGAACTCAGGATTTACCGGCTTAATTCTTGACCAAATTGCCACATGCCTTATGCATCCATCAAAATTATTCAACCGCAGAAGTGCTTCCTCTCTAAACTCTGCCCAAGCAAAACCAATTAAAACTAAAGCAAAAGTAACGTAAAGTTAAAGCCAAAAGCCGAAGCTTAAGCAGCTGAAAATGCAAATCATTGGACCAATGTTGATTAGAAAGCAGCTGTCGGCGCCTGAAGAAGAAGTCAAGACCCGTCATATAATTAAATAAATACCTCAAGATGCTGGAGAGGTTGGCCCTCGCTGCCTTGCCACAAATTCAATTACGGTCAATCCATAAAAACAAAGCAACAACAAGCCCTGATCAGGAATTATGTTTTGCTTATAAAAAAACATTACATTACCCTTTCCACCGAAAGAAAGAAGTGTAAAAATATGCAGTGCGAAAACTCAAGTATATCATAAAAAGATGAGTACTTTTTTTTATGGGCTTTACCGGAAGAAGTCAGAGCATGGGAGAAATATTCCAGGTTTCAGCGAATGCATAAAGCGGATTTATATTAAGCATACAAGATCCTCAAAATCGTTTAGTGTGCCAACTAATTAGCCAAAGATCATAGAAAAATGAAAAAGATCATGGGAAAAGCAGCCTCTTAGCAGCAGCCACGTATATGTGGCCACATGAAAACAGACAGAATGGGCACAGTTAGAAGACAGTTTATAGCATTAGCCCCTTAACAAGACCCAGCGGAGAATAAAGAACGAACAACCCAACCAACTAACCGACAGACACACAGACTCCTAAAAACTTTAATTAGAGTTTAAGGAGCCCGGGTACATTTTTCATTAGCCTGGCCATGAAATTCACTCACTTTTAGCCATCAGAACAGACAACTACAGACACAGACACCGAAATTGCCAGCAGTTAGCCACAGAAATAACTCATTGTCGCCCATTCCTCCGCGTTTTGTCCTCAATCTCGATCTGAGGTCGGCAATTTTCACTTCAACATGGGACTCTTGTCCCCAGAAACCGATGTTTTTGGCTCAGTAAAAGTCGAAACTGAGGTAATAGAAAGTAAGTGCCTAGCTCTCGCAAATTAATGTTCTTGGGATGATAGGGGATTGTATAGCTTCATTGGTGGCTTTTATGTAGTAAATATCTTAAGCCAACAAGTTATGACTATTATTGTGATATCCTAGCTAACGAAGATCCATCGCTTCTCTGATCAACCGAGGATCCTGCATTAAACCGATTGAATCTTCAGTCTTTGAGATTCCAGATTCCTGAAGTCATCTATCATGAAAATTCCTGAGTAATTATTATTTTGGCGAAAGTTTCATCACCCATCAAAACGCAGCGGGTCCAAGTTGACTGACTTTGCTACTGTTGCACAGATGACCGTCGATAACTAATTATTTCCACTCATCTTTCGGCAGCCAAAGGAGGCAAAAAGCTGCTAAGGTGTCTGCATTTTCGATATTTATGAGCCATCATCATCGGACTGGCTCTACTACTCTACCAATTCCCCGCCCCCAAAAGTGGATGGATACTGAACCTCAACCATATATTGATTGATTGGCTTTGATTATTGGCCGGACAGCCGATGGCTTAAATTTGCATGCCAAAAGCGACATAGGGAGATAGATATTGGTTACTGAGTTTCGGGTTATTGGATACCAGATTTATATGCATCATTAGAAAATGCCAACAGGGCTGCTTCTTCTCTTTCACTGCTCGTAACTTTCTTTAGCATCATTAAAATGAATAACAACAAATTAGTCGCAAAACAAAAACAATACCAAGAACTGTCCACAAATATCAAGACCCCGAAAACAAAGTTGCATGTCTTGAAGGAAGACTTATGTAAGGCACTGGGAAAAATGAGGTAATCAAAAAGGGGTTGAATATGAATAATGTAATGAATGCCAATATGAATAATGTAAATACTAATTTATAAATAACAGCAACATTTTTCCTAACATTTAACATTTTTTAGGGATATAAAAGTCGAACATTTATAATATAAGAACTTTTTCAAGATTTCCAGATGGTTTTCTTGATTTTCGCAGTGCACAAAGAAATTTCTTTCGTGTCCGAAAAATTTCTTCATTTGCGGGTCACTAATTAGACGCGATTTGTTGGTCCGAGCTGACATGCAATCTCCCCCAAGAGGAAGACCAAAAAAAATAGTAAGATGGGGGAAGTGGGAACAACCGGCCCTTTAAATGGCCAACATCTGCATAATTATGCGTTGTTGTTGGAAGGTGCTTATGCATCTCAATGAATTTAATTGTGCAACATTAAGCGTGGAATGGGCTTAGGCTCTTATCAATTTCTGGCCTGGGAGAAATGTGAAACAGAAGCGCAGAAAGCCCACTCAAATATAATTATTCTTAATATATATCTTTAGACCGCGGCAGTTACTTTTTGCGGCTATTTTCACCGCTTTTTTTCGGTTACCTCTTCATACAGGAAGCACTCAGGTGAAGATTTCACTTGTTGCTTGGAAAGTGAAATTTCGTGGGTTCATCGTTTTATTTTCATTTCTATTTCTACTTCCACTTTGGCTCTGTGAGATAATTTAAATGCGATAAGACATTAATCAATGCAATTAGCCTAACAATTGTATTGATATCCGATGGATGTGAATTTTCGACTGGACAAATTTCCAAAGATCTTAATGGCATTTTAATGGGAGCAGGCAGTCAGGGTGAAAGTTTATCGATTTATTTTTTGGAAGCTGGCCGAGGAAAATCTGTGATATGCAAAAAAAAATATGCCGCACTTAATGGCGAATCCAGACAATGCAATAAACTGCAACAATAAAGCAATAACAGTAACAATAACAATAATTGTAATAGCCAAAGTGCAGTGCCAAGTCATCGCCGATTCAAATGGAGCTTGAATCTTGAAGCCTGAAGATGGAGATGCAGATGCAGGCGAGGTGCGGCCGCAAAACGAAAGCCGAAAGATACAAAGATACAAGATACAAATCATGCATTACAATGGTTAGGGGCAGAGGCACATGCATTGAAATTGAAAGTAACACACGACTGCAACTTGATGATGATTTTCTAATTGCACAAAAGCCGAGATGACTCAAGTGCCTGCAAACGCAAAGCAACCTCAACATTTTTCCCGAAAGGTGTTAAGTATGCAAATGACGAGCAGCTCTCGAGTTAACATCTCCAAGCCGAAAAAAAAAGTAGTCATGTTGTAATATTTACGGCCAAACATAAAAAAAAACAACACAAACACACATATGATCCGTGTGGGCGGGGTCAGCGCGCCTTTTTGGCCCAAAAGCGAGCGGTAAAAGTCGCCAGCGATTTTGACCCCACAGCCCCAAAGCGGCAGCAGATTCGCATCTTTCAGATACTTTTACATGTACTTTCTCTACTTAGAGCTAGAGTTTGGCTGCCATCGCACAATTTTTTCTCAATTTTTTTCTCCTTGCCTTTTAGGCCGCGCCTAATCGGAATTTGTGCGCAGGCGAGGTAGAGGACCTGGAGGAGGAGGCCCCCGAGGAGGAGACCCCAAGATCACTGGAGATCAGTGGCAGCGACAACGCTTTGATGTTGTAATTAACTTTCATTAGACTAAGCAAACAACTCCGAGAATTGCAAGCGAACAAAAAATTATCGCGCAAAACATTGGTAAAAACTCAAAGAAATCTCTTCAAATTTGGAACTTCCGTAAGCGAATCTCGCATTTAAGTCTTTAGATGGGTTTTTTTCCCTTGGACCGCTTTTTTTTTGGCACTTCCAGGTAGAGGGGCAAACTAAATTTCACTTTCGCTACACAATATCAACAGCGATTTAAGTGTGTGCTATATTTAAGTATTTACTTGGCCAACAATACAAAAAGTGAGCACAACAAAAGACAAATAAACTTAAGCCACGTTACCCTGGAAGTGCTGTTTGGGGAAGAACTATATTTGTTAATAGAGTTATT